ACCGATGGAAATTTTTTTCTCGAGGGATTTGTTTGCTAACGTCATGAGCGTGCACCATAGGAATGTGAAGCACGCTCGCGCAATTGAAATTTACGCGCTATGTTATAAACGAAATTGATCTCGCCAGAGGGAACACCTGCCTTAAACAAGCTTTGGGAAGGCGTGAATACCAACATTTTAAGGGTTTGTTACATGAAACATGCACTAAGCAAACAGCTTATTAATAGATATGAACATTTTTCTGCTTTTGAAAATGTACATACAGGCTAATTCTTAATGCCTTCATCTGCCATAATTATTGTTTACTAGAGAGGTTTAGCTGTACTTTCAAGAAATTTCGGATCGATTATTAAATATAAATGAATGCAAACATATAACAACAAAAAGAAAGCTGGGGGAACATGGCGTCAGAATTTCCTGAGAATCTTGCAAGCTACTAAAAGCATTTTTATTCGCTTTTTACATTCCAGGATTACCCAAGCAACATAATTTTTAGAGTTGATAAAATATCATCAACAGTTCTAGGAAAATAGATCGTAAAGCGATGCGGAATCGAAGAACAGCATGGAAATCTCAGTGAAGAGGATCAGACAACCTTAAAATTTCTGCGAGCTGCCATCTCATTCATCTCGAACGCAAATGACATGTGCGCTGATCTAACAAACGCTGCCTTCATTATATCGCACCCAGGAAAAGCGTTTATTATTCAAGCTGGAAATGGAGATTGGGAGTTTTTCTTTTCAGAAGACGCAAAGGATGTTGTACATGGCCGCTGTGTTCGGGTCCCAAACAGTTTTCAAGCAGTAAAGACTGCAATTCCTATTTCAGAAACCTTTTGTCTTGGTGGTCACAGCCACCAAATACCGACGTTCGTGGACCATTAGCCCTGACCTGTGAAGTTCAGGAACCCACGTCCAATGTTAGTACACCTCTTTAGGTTACGGAGGAAGAAACTCTTAAAACTCACTCAACTGATGCCTCGAGTCTTACAAATAGTGCCGACTAACGACGTTCCTATTTAAATTTAAAAGGGATATTTGCTCCAGATACTAAATAGAGGGGGGCATTGGGGTCTATTAGAACTCGCAAAACCGCAGAAGAAATCATCCAAAACCACAAAAACACTAAAAATTGTTTATAAAACGTGAAATACTTCGAGATTGCTAATGAGTTATTATGACAATTTTTGAAGATGAGGATTGAAAAATCAATCAGTTGTCATTGCGAAGGTGTTGGTAGTGCGCCGCTCATTCTGAAGGCACAATCAGACGACTGTTTGAAGTTGGTCACAGCAGATAGGTGATTGATACCAAATTGACATATCATCTCCAAATGATAAACGGAGGAAGCGAACTCACTAAATCTATCCTGCTAGCATAGTTTTTGGGTGAAAATTGCCAATTTTTTTATTGCAGAGAGCCTGAAAACGGGTGTAGAAAATGATGTTTTGAAATACGTATTATATCGCTATTTTTCTGTCAGTGACATCCACAGCAGACTCAGGGGGAGGGGGGTTGGGGGAGGTGTTCCTCGGAGTTCGGGGTAAGGTTATGCTGCCCACTTCTTCAATACTGACTCACTGACTAGCGATATGATGCTTCCTTTTGGATCACATACAGTAATGACATTCCATTCATTTTTCCTTTTAAGGACTACCGAAGTATCATGATATCCTACTTTAAAAAGATTGGGTCGATGTTCCTTGGAAGAAAGATTACCAAACGATGTGGAAACGAAGGACAGCATAAAGATCTCGAGGAGAAGCAAGCTGCCATCTCGTACATCTCAGAGGCAACCAACATGGGAGCAGATCTTTCAAATGCTGAATTCACTTTTTTTACAATCAGGAAGAGAGTTTTTCATTTAGGCTGGAATTGGCGACTGGGAGTTCTTTTTTGTTGAAGATCCAAATAATGAAGTTCCCCTGACAGCACATCTGGCCCTGGCAATCGAAACGGTAGACCCAGAAAAGCACCAGGACGAAGAAATAGTTTGCTGGCCCTGCCGTCTGTCTCTGTCCTGCTACATATCGACGAAGAAAAAGATGAAAATAAAGAAAGAGGCAGATTTTGTTACTAGCTTGATCTTATAGGTCACAAATAACTCCATAATCTATCAGATAATTTGAGTTTATTAGGTGTCAAAATTTATTAAATTTTATACCGCTGTCAGAAACATATCCATAGTCTTTGGCTGGTAATCTTTCGCCTTTCCCATGAAAGGTGTATTCATTTTATTCACAATTAATGCCCTTTAAGAAGTCTAAAGCTTTTCTTTACACGTGTATCTATCTTTTCGATTCGGGGAGTACTCTGAATCTTCAAGATGATAAACAATATTCCATTCAAAAACCTTACGGTCTTACTCGTCACCCGTGATATTGATATCTAATCTAGTAATATGCTTGTTAAATTGGATTTAAATTATTTGACGTGGGTGTGTCTCTCGCCGTAATGTGTGAATTTGCACCAAACACTCCACCATCGTTTGATTAATATGTGTACGCTCTTTTTTAAAACTGAATCTCTATCACAGTAACTTTGGGTTTCCTGTTATACTAAAAATAAAATCAAAAACACAAATTCAAAAGAACAGAATAGGTAACAAAGGCTAGGAAATCAACTGAAACAATTTTTTGTTTGGGATTCCTCGATACTTCAATATTTCCCTTAACCCTTTCACACCCAAGATCTCATTAGTAATTCTCCTTACTGTCTGCCATACAACTCTTATGATGTTAGCTCTGAGAATTTGGTATTGGATCAACTAATAATCCCCTAGCTGATATATTTTTTTCTCATCACTTACCTGTTTGATATTGTATTGATCAGGTAAGGAGAAATTCTGTCTTAGTCACTCACGGGAGTTAAAGGGTTAAGTGAGAAAAATATTAGAACCATGCATTACTGCATCACGATGAATAACAAAATTTACTATCGTAAACAGAGTAAACATATGTTTACATCTCTTCTTTTTGCTTCAAAACTTTCTTCATTTTTACTTCGACTTTGGCAGCAGTCTCGTTGTTGGGTGTCTAAGTAACTTCGTTAGTTGTCCATTGTATAACCTCCTGTAAAGATGCAATGAAAAAGAAAACTAGCTTTTGAGAAGACCCACACAATCAGGAGACACCGAGACTCTTAGTTCTCCTCTTCTTTATTACATTTTCTATAGCTAACCCTTTACTCTCTCTCTCTCCTTTACTCACTGTAGTGCACGCTCCAAAGTACCTTATTAGTGAACATGTGGGTAATGTGCTAACTGTCTGCAGAGTTTAACCCCAAGCCTCAAAAATAGAGTCAGCACAAACTATTTTTAATGTTAAAATTACAAGTTCGACCTTGCGGGCTTCTAAACTTGATAAGACTCGCACAACGACTATACAATAATCAGCTAAAACTTTTTTACGAGTGAAATTTAGAAAACTAAAAATAAAGTACTCACCACGAACAGTTTAGAGACAAAATTTCAAGTTCCAGTAATTGGACAACCAGAGGAGAAAGACAACAATGAAACCTATCGTAAGGGGGTAAGACTGGCACAATCTTTGAGTGCTAACCTTAAAAAACCTTGAATCGTAATAGCACTTCACAACACTCTCTTTTTCTATAGAGGCCTGTTCAAAGGGAGGTCGCATCCAAAATCTCCCTGTGTTTACTTATCAGTACTCAACGATTTAATCTACAAGAGCCGCTTTCAGAACATAGCAATCCGGCGGGAACTAAGAAGGCAATGACGTTCTGTGTATCGCAAAGAAATTAACTAAACCGATACCATTGGCTAATGTGTTTGGTGCTCTAAAATGCACAACTAAATGAGACATAAAACCTATATTCAGCTCTACAAGATTACACTTAATTAGACCTAAAAGCCTTGATGACTACTTCAGCAAGAAAC